TCTCTCTCTCTCTCTCTCTCTCTCTCTCTCACACACACACACACACACACACACACACACGGAATTTGGCAGAGCTCTCAGCATAGCTATCACATAGACACACAGAGAGAGTGTATCTATCCGTCCTGTTCTTTTGCATAAACATCCCACTTGCAAAGACCCTGGGGAGGAAAACAACTTCCGAGCCACAGCAACGGCAGAAAAGCAAATCCACGGTGCCTCGCCAGAGGAGAAAACAGCGACACTAGAAGAGGGAGGCCAGACCCTCACGGTGACACCTGGAAAGCAGGAGCAAAGGGAGGCGATGCAACATGAGGGACAACACAAGGGGAATGCTCAGGTTTTTTTTTTCCTCGCATCCGAAAATTTGCTGTCTGTAAGAATTTTTTTTCTTTAAAAAAAAGATGAGGCGCTTATGGAGATTCCCCGGCGCTCACCTGTGCTCCAGCTCCCTGCGGGTCCCGGCAAGTGGCAAAGACCCACTGGGGCGGTTTCGGGAGCCCCAGGAGCTGCTTCACCAGCTCCAGCCCAATACCCCGGTTGGCCCCGGTGACCAGAACGCTACAGAAATGGGCCTCCGCCATTGCTCCTTCTTGCCAAGTCCTCAGTCCTCCCACCTGAAGTCTGCAGGTGTGGTTTTTTGTTCATGCCGGTCCCCGCCTATTTGCTCAGGGCTATGGCTCAGTGGCACAGAGACTCGCACCGGTTTGGATCGAATGGGGAGCTCATGTTGCGCGCATTGACCCCACATGACTCATGGTGGAAACATGTTTTTGCTAAACAGACGCCAAGCCCTTTCCTGAGGAAAAAGACCTTGGCAACAAAGCAGAGTCGGTTGAATGGGTTGGCAGAGGTGTCGCAGGAAACCTGCCCCGTTCATGGGTCCAAAGGAGGCCACAAAGCAGGAGAGGGAAACTCTGGTGGGGGCAAGGCTCCCTCTGGCCCTCCTTCAGACTTTAGCCAGCTGCACCCTCCGGCACTATCCAGTCCTGCATTTCTCTTTCTCTCCTTCCCCTCATTTGACTTTTGAAAGTGGCATATATATATATGCTCTCTCGCTGTTTTGCTTTCTCCCAACAACACAGGGGACAACTGAGGCAGCCCACTGCACTTTGTGGAGGTAGCCTTTAGGGCGCTGCAAGCAAACAACCAAACAATCCTGTGGCACCTTTAAAACTGGCAGATTTCATCTGGCAAAAGCTCTCGTGGACTACCGCCTTCTTCGTCTGAAGAACTGAGCTGAAGTACACTGAAGCTTATGCCAAATAAAACCTTCTCATCATAATATACCACAAGTATTTCGGTGTCTGCTGTGTTATCCTTCATCTCTCTTCAGATACAATCTGTGGTACTTTATTTTTGCGGTAAAATGCACCTTCAGCAACATGGTAGACAGGAAGAAAGTGCAGCGAAGCCAAATAGAGGGTAATGGTTATTATGCTTTTTTTCAGCAGGTGTCCCGTGCAAGTCAAGCACTAGAGGGAGCTAGTGTTCAAGAAATGTTACTAAGGGAAAACAAAAACTAACAAGACAGGATTTCACTTTCCGATTTCTCCTTCTCTTTCCAGGTTCTGCAAAGCCCAGCTTAAAAGGATACTTGAAAACTCACCCCTTTCTTGTATTTTTAGTGGCCCAGTACAGGTTTTACCGCTGGCTGGATAGCTCAGAGAGTTAGGCCTCTGGCTCAGAGGTTTAATATCCCCCATGGTGCCTTCCGGGAGAAAAGCCAGCCTGCGTAGCCTTGGGAAAACCTGCACAGTCGTAGAGCAGTCCTCCACCAAGGGTGCGGATGGTAAATCACCTCTGAGTACTCTGGACCTAAAAAAAAAAACAACCCGGAAAAGGTTGCCTTAAATCAGAATCGACTTGAAGACACATAATTCATGAATTAAATGGTTTAATCATCTTCGGGGTTGGATTTTGCACACGAACCTCAGGGCTGTCTTTATTTTTTCTCATCAGGACCAGGCGGAAGCCTTGTCATTCAGATCCACAAGGGGTAAGGACCAGCGGGACACCAATCGAGACCAAAGCGTGGGAGAGAAGGGGGTCACCAGGCTGAGGGTAGCGCAGATCACCCCTTTTGAGGTCAGGAAGGGATTTTCCTCCGGGGCAGATTGGCCGGCCACCTTGCGCCTTCTCCCCCCCTTCTTCTCTGGACATCCAGGAGAAGTTCCTTGTTAATGGTCGGTCAGCAGGTTCATATAAAAATAATTTGAAGATCTAGTTATAATAAATTTATCAGCAGAACAATCCCCCCCACACCTTTTTGGCTTTTTCCTTCTAAATCAAGAACAAATTCTGCGCCCAACTTTGTTGTCCTCGTTATGTGCCATGTAGTTGCCTCCGACTCAGACCTTCGTTCGACCTAGATTAACTTACAAATGATGTTGTTTTCCTGGCGCCCCGGGAAGAGGAATTTTCTGAGGCCGACTTACGATCTCTTGGAGAATTCTCTGCATTCTCACCAGTGAAATGTTTCCAGGATTTTATATAAGAAGCTATGGCGGTTTTTAATTAATTTAAGACTGCCACCACTTTTTATAAGGTTGCTCTGCCCTGGATTTGTCCTAGCTCTGAGAAATGTGGGTTAGTCCTTGAGTGTGTGTGTGTGTGTAACTTTGTGATGTATCATAATGAGACCATAGAGGTGTATATGGAGTCAAGCATACGGGGCTTTGAAGACTGAAAAGGTGGGTGGATGGATGGATGGAAATCCCACTAAAAGCTCTATAAAGGAATGAGAAGAACTCTCTTTGACATGATATTGATGCAGTGTCAATATCCTGATGATTGAAAGTACAAACACATCTCCTAGCCGCAGGCTGTTGGGTTCAAGAGCCAAAGAAAAAGCTTTATCGCTTCAAACAAAGGCCTCTAGGAATCTTGACACCCTTTAAAACATGTTCCTCTTAAAATATTATGCTTTTAAAAAAAATCTAAGGAAGTATTCAGCAGTGATCGTTAACAATTAAAATATTTAAAGAAAGAAATTATGCAGTAAAGGGAAAACAACCCAGTAATCCATGATTGAAGACCGACACTGTATTCAAGTTACCTAGCTAATTGGTTGCTATTAAAATCTTCTGTTATAATTGTATGTTAGCATATTGCTTCCTTATCAATAATGCATTTTTATGGGGTTGGAAGAGTTATGCAACCTATAAATATACAAAGTAACTGGCTTCCATACCAAGGGGTCCTGCTAAATTAATGAATGGGGTTTCAGGAGACACCCTCCTCTGCACTGCACTGCAAAGTTTTAGAATCCAGCACAGAAATGTGTCACGGATCCGCCCAACCTGAGAAGTCCCACCGGCGCTCAGGAAATCTTCCCTCGTTCCCAGTTGCATGCAGTGGGTGTGGCCGTGCGGATCCCCAGTGGTAAAGCCACTCTGCACGTGGTCTGATGCACTATTTGTTTCCTTCCCCGTTTCGAAGTTTCTCTGCTTTCATGCAGACAGATATGCTAATCTGCATATTTATCATTATTCTTTTTGTCTATTTATTTGCAAGATGTCGAGCCCGCCATTCTGCAAAGCACGACTCCATGGAGGCTGGCTTCGGATCGCACGATTTCAGGGGACAGCTGCGCTCCTCCGACTCTCCCGACAGGGAGAGAAATCTCTCGGGAGAATAACGATTTGTCGTATTGCAGCAGTTGCCAGCAATTAAGAGAGAACAGGATAAATAAAAGTGAATACTTGTCAACAGCCAAATAGCTACACCATCTACCTGCTCGTGAGTGATAAAACTATCTACTATCCTTAGAAGAGAGAACAGGATAAATAAAAGTGAATAATTGTCAACAGCTAAATAGCTACACCATCTACCTGCTCATGAGGAAAAAGTGATAAAACTATCTACTATCCTTAATTTTTAGGGACTTTCAAGAAAGCTCCTCTTCCTTTCAGCCCTAAAAGAGGCAGCAAAACAAGGTGGTTTATTAAGTCATTGCTGAGCCTTCCTCTTGGCAGATTCACAAGGTGTCGGGGTTTTGTGACTAGGACAAACGAAACGTGGTTTAGCGAAGGCTTTTTCAAGTCTGCTCCTGTCCCTGGGAAACGTCAGCAAAAATGTACTGCTGTTTCTAGAAAAGGAGTTGTTTGAAGTCAAGCCTTTTGTTATACTTAATTCTAACTTAGCCAGCTGGAGAGCTCAGTGGTTTAGGCATCTGGAGGACAGAGCCCGAGGTTGGGACTTCAGCCCCCCCCCTCCCCACTGGGCGTCCTGGGAGAAGAGCCAGCCTGGGTGGCCTTGGGCCAGCGGCACAAATCCCAGGGCAAACCCAAGAAGGAGGGGATGGGAAACCCCCTCTGTGTATTTCTCCACCTAGGAAACCCTCTGGAAAGAGGAATCAACTTGAGGGCACACAAGGAATTCTCATCTGGCAGTATTTCTTCCATAGGGCAGGGCCAGCAAATGGCTGGCACTCCAAACACTTTGGGCAACGACTCCCACCATCCTTCGCCACTGCCCGGGGATTCTGAAGGTTCGCCACCCCTGCCTTAGTTGGGTTGGATCCTCGTGTCTTCAACAAAATGGGCTCCTTAAGCTGATCTTGCACTGGTTGTCCTTGGCTGGAAACTAAAGGCACCCTCTCTCCCGAATTCCAGCAGAACGAAGCCATTTCCATCAAGACTCCTGCAGACTTGCTCACGGCGTGAAGTCCCCCGCTTGGCCCCCTCCCGCTTCTGCCAGAACGATCCAGAAAGCAAGCGTTGAGAGCAGGGAGGGAAGGGAAACAAGGTCCCTTCCTCAAAGCCTTTGTCTGGGGAGACAAGACGGTCTGCAACCAGCTTCAGAAAAATGATGACACTGGGCACGCACGCTCTGGACTACACAGTCCCCCAACCATTGTCAAATTAAAACAGTGTCCTTGTCAGCACTTTCTCTGAAGCACCGCCCAGGACAGGCTTTTGGACACATTTCACAAATGCTCGCTCAAAGTCTTTTAACACCAGGGCAGGCTTAAATTCTGACGTAAATAGCGCTCAATACACCAAGGCTGACGGGCATGCAACTGTGCTGCTAAGTTAGAATCCTGCAGACTTGAGGAGGTAAGTGAAAGGAAGAGAGTTTAATTGACTAGTTTATTTTCAAGTCCTCGTATCCTTTTGGCTGCACAAACCTGAGAGAAGAACCACCACCACCCCATGATCTCCCAAGCGGCCCTCCCCTCGCAACCCACACGGTCTACTGTTGCAGACTCTCCTCCAGCAGCCCGCACCTAACAGAAAAAGGTTCTTCACAGGCTGCTGATCAAGGAAGATGAGACAGCATTTCAAGATCCCCCCCCCGGCCCTGATTCCAGATCGATAGGGATTTATCTATTGCCATGACATCTCTTTTGTCTACAGGGCATGTGATGACAGCCAGCAGCTAGAGATGAAACACTATCCATTAAAAGAACAACAACAAAAGCATGGAAGTTCACAATTGTATATTCATGAAGGCTGTGAACCAGTGAACACCGAGCGCAATCAGCTACTCAGAGGTAAGTCATTTCCTTTCACCTTCCACGATCTCTTCGCTGGTTTTCTGTTGCCCCATCCATCCCCCCCACCCGAAGTCCACACTCTATTTCCTCCTTTACAAGAGACCTTCCCAGGATGTGATGTATGTGAGAAGATTAATGAAGAGATGAGGAGGCAAAGAGGAGCTTTCTTCCCCAAGGAGGCTTGGCACGGCCCCCCTCTCAGGCGTCGTGAAGGTTGTTCTCAGTTAAGAGGATCTTCTCGCCGGGTTTGAAGGCTGGCATCCCCCGGTAAGGGCAGCTGGCGCATCGGAAGGCATCCCCCAGGTAACACTGTGGAGAGAAGAGAGGAGAAGTCAGCCTCCCATCCAGGGAAAGCTTCGCCGTTTCCGACCTTTCCTAAGCAGATTGAGCTTGCATTTGACAACGCTTCAACATCTGTTCGCAGAACATAGATCGTTTGGGGGGGGGGTCTTGCTCCAACATTTTAAAGTCGGTGCGGGTTCTTGAAAAATGGATGCAAAGATGGAGGGACCAGCCCAAAACCACCCAGGTCGGAGACAGGTAGGGGAGTGATCCATTTTTCTGTTCTCTTAAAATACACAGCTGCCACTTCACATAGTTATATGGGAACTGGTTCCAAGACCCCTCTGCGGATGTTGAAAAATGTGGGTTGCAGCAAACACTATTATAATACGGAACGCTGTACACAACAGGGTCAATGGTTCCCTCTAGTAGTGCCAGTTCTGGAGATGACATGGCTAGAAATATGTATTTTGGGTCATTGTGTTTCGCCTTTTAGAGAATCCATGCACCTCTTACAGGACGCATGACATGAGAAGAGGCTCTCCTCCCACTGAGAGAAGTGGGAATGCTCTTCTCCCAACGACCCAGACCACTGGCAACTTATATTAATGTTTCTTTCTTTCAAAAATAAAATCCGATGTTATCTGTTTGATTTTAAAAGGCCTGGAATTGGTTTTTAGATGCCATTGAGACAGAACAGACTTATAATAGCAAGACTTTCAAGGCAAGTGAGGGCTTTAAGGAGTGATTTAACCCTTTCACATCTCCCGGTGGGTTTCCGTGGCTGAGCAGGGATTCGAACCCAAGGCCTCCTGGGTCCTAGTCCAATACTCTGTCCACAATACCACGCCGGGTATCCATTAGTTACTCTGATTTAAACATTACAATTGAAGGAATAATATCTGTTCAACATTTTGCTCTGCATGTAGTGGCTTTACACAGCTGGAATAAAAATTTTAAAGATTCTTAAAACACATGCACAAGCAACTTTTAACCATGGGGTAAGCTCCTGTCCTTACATTCCCACAAGCCGATCTGGGCTGCGAGCTCTTCTTTTCCTGCTCTAGCTCTTCCGCAAGGCCGCAGGTGCTGCAGGAGAAGAAACAGGCGATATAAACGTTTGTTTAGCCAAGTATCTGTGGCACTGCGATTTATTTTCATTATTTATCTGTTTGTTTTACTTATAGGCCACCTTTCTCCCAACAGGAGGACCCAAGGTGGCACACAATATTAAGAAGAACAGAATTAAAAAGACAAGTTCAACATTAAAATACAACGAAACCACATGCTAATCAAAATACAACTGGACAATTAAAAGCCACTTGCTATCACCCAGGATCCTTGGGAACCACAAGCCACCAGACAGATTATTTCAGAATTGAATCCACCACGATTTTAGGGGGTTCATGGACTCACCAGTTCTTACAGGCTTTCTTCTTCCCAGATTCTTTACAAGAGGGAGCTTTGAGGGAACCCGGGTCTGGCTTTTTCAAATCCTCAGGATCCAGAAGCTCATCGGAATCTAGCAGATCCTGAAATGAAGTCAAGAACAAAGACTCTGAAAAATGTCCCCCTGTAAGGTGGTCTGCTCCTGAACGTGTGTTGTGGAAACAACAGTCCAGCAGGCCTTTTATAATGAAATAGTAATAGCAATATTTTGGTGATTTAACTATCAAAACACAGAAACCTAGAGAGAGGCATAAAAGAGAGCGTCTGGAGGCCAGGGGCCACGAAGTTGCACAAAACATGGAATTTTCTGGCTGGTTTTAGGAGATCGTCTTCAAACTTACCATGTCGTCGTCATCATTCATATCGCTGGCAGAAAGTGTCCACAGCTTGGCAGCTGCAGGATCCACAGCTGGTTTTTCTAAAGGACACAGAGCAGACAAAGGGCTGTAGAGACCCAAAGAGGTTTGATCGACTCTTAACAACCTCCTTGCTCCTGGGACAGTTCCTTCTCGGGAGACTTTCACTGGGACAGAACAAGACCCTGGCTAAGAGGGCATCTCTTAAAACGTCCTGGTGGCAGACTTTGTACAGGCATCTGATCGTCTAGTACAGAAACATCATGCTGGACCAGAAAAGGGCCCTTGGTTGGATAGGAGTTTTCTTCTTAATTAAAGGAACCTTTAAAGAGCAGCCAATGCCAACCACCTCTTGTACATAATTTTGGCTTGGCTTTGCCAAGAAATGCAATAGTTAATGTGCTCTACTCCACAGCCCTCTGACACCTAAGTTCGGTGCCTTTCAGAGGAAGTTCTAAATTGTTTTCCAAGAATTGTTTTCCTATAGACTCTCAAACCAATCACAAAGGCCATTCTGCTGCTCATTTTTCATAAAATGTGACTGGATTTCTGATCAAGTTACTTGTAATGGAACGGCACATAACGGAACAGAACGACTCAACTCGACTTGATTTAACTGAACCCATCCCAACTCAACCCAACGGCTCCTTTTGGAAATGTCACCAAGATTTAGGGTTCAGATTTGGTAACTAAGTTATTTATAGCAAAATAGTGCAAGTTACTTGTAATGGAACGGCACATAACAGAACAGAACGACTCAACTGAACCCATCCCAACTCAACCCAACGGCTCCTTTTGGAAATGTCACCAAGATTTAGGATTCAGATTTGGTAACTAAGTTATTTATAGCAAAATAGTGAAATAACGTTTACATAACGGAACAGAACGACTCAACTCGACTTGATTTAACTGAACCCATCCCAACTCAACCCAACGGCTCCTTTTGGAAATGTCACCAAGATTTAGGGTTCAGATTTGGTAACTAAGTTATTTATAGCAAAATAGTGAAACAACATTTTGTGGCTTAGTCTATAAGTCAGACCAGAGCAGGCCGCTGAATCGGTGAGCATGTGGAGAGCCAACTCCGCCGTGCGTAAAGGTTAAGAACCACTGGTTTAGTCTATAGGTCAGACCAGAGCAAACCGCTGAATCGGTGAGGATGTGGCGAGCCAACTCCACCGTGCATCTATTAACTCAAATGGGCCTACTCTAGCTGTGACATACTGTGCTAAAGTTAAGTTCCAACCAGAGCAGGCTCATTTCAATCAACAGAACCTAGGGAGGAGCTGACTCACCAAATCCCTATGGATTCAATAGGCCAATTCTAGTGCAACTTGCTGTATTAAACAACAGGATTTCGGCCAGTATTTATTTAATTAGGGCTAGGAATCATGACTTTTGCTGAACCCTTTGTCATGACCCCTTGTCTAAGTAGAGGGTAAAGGTGCACCACGACCCCTCTTCAACTCCCTCTTACTTGATGGGGCTGTTTTCTTGACAAAGGAAAGCTTGAGTTGACTTGAGGATCCCACTTCGAAGCTGGGCTTCTTGCCTTCTATCTGAACAGAGAGAAGTTTGCCGTCCTGGACACCCAGATGCTCCTGGGTGGACTGGGCTTGCTCTGCCGTTAAAGGCTCCTTCTGTATCTGGAATGCGAAACAGAGGACTGCATGCGTTCAGCCGTTCAATCCATGCCGGCGGGGACCCAGAAAAATCTGGGGAAATCATTTTTTTGCTACCAAATTACCAAGAAAATACATAACTTCTTTTGGAACCCTCACCAAGGCTAAAGTAAAACACTTTGGCTTTTTCAAGTAAACAACACTGATACAATAATGTTGTTGTACTGTGCTGCTCATGTTTAAAATTTCCCACACTGTAACTGCAGGGAGATTTTATTTGGAAAAACTGCATCGAAGTCTCTTAAATAAAATAAATGCTTTCTATTGGAGCAATCAACAGTGAGGTAAAAAAAAAGAGATCAACCTACCTCCTTGATTTCCACCAACCCAGAAAGGGTCAAAACTGTGGGTAACTTGCTTATTGACTTTAGTTTGCTGTTGTTACCTGGGAAGGAGAGGACAAGATGATGACTCACAGCCTTAATTAAGAGCACGGCGGTGCACACAAAACACAGAAATCACAAGGAAAGAAAACGTTGAGTTAGGGTAAGTTTTTTCCCCAAATCGCTTTGGGTACAGCTAAACAGTGATTGATCTAATAAGACTGACCCGTGGACTCAAACTCTCACCAAAGCGATTTGGTGAACCAACAAAACACAGAAATCACAAGGAAAGAAAATGTTGAGTTAGGATAAGTTTTTTTCCAAATTGTTTTCGGGCACAGTGATTGATCTAATAAGACTGACCCGTGGACTCAAACTCTCACCAAAGCGATTTGGTGAACCAAAGCCAAGTCTTCAGCACCTGCACAAGTGGATGGATTGAATAAACGAAACGTGTTCATCAGCGCTTCTGTGAAGTCTCACTGATTCCATGGTTGCAATGGAATATTTTCCATTGCAACCATGAATGAGGAATATTGCCGGGAAAAGCCCAGCCTTGCTGCCGCAGGCTGTCCTTGAGCCCAGAAGAGACTTAACCTTGGTTTGCAAAAGGCGATTTCATGGGATTTGCACCATCCTTGGGTCAGATCCCCTGCTGCCAAATTCAGAGGGCCAAGGTCACAGGCCTGTTTCCCAGTTTTGTCAGGGGAAGAGGCCCACGCCTCCCCAAATAGCTTGAGTCCAAATTTATCTCTGAGACCATCTTGCTAGGGTTACACGTAAGTACTTGCTCCGCTTCAAACACCAGCCGTTTAAATCCATGTTATACACCTCCAAGTAGTGTTTTAGATCTTTTGCTCACGTTTTGACACGTTTTGTGTGCATAATCCATGGTATCTTACCACCCAGTAAAGACCCTTCAGATTCTCAGTCCCAGGGCCAGAGAAGGGCCCGCTCCTTACCTGTTTCTGTTGTCACCACCTCCTTTAAAAGGACACGCCCTCCCGGCTTGACGATCCGAGCTATTTCAGCCAGGACTTCGGCACTATGCACCGTGCAGCCACCAGGTATCAGACCCGACAAAACCACATCAAAACTGGATTCCTTATGGGATGCTGCGGAGATAAACTTATTAGGGTGCATATAACCATTTTGCAGTCGTATTTGACATACGTAACTGTTTTACATGACTCACTAGTAAAGAACCTGGCAGGGCTCTGAAAAACAAATACTGCTGGGCTTTATGGAAGATTACCAATTATATGCAACTCCATCAGCTGGCAAAACTTTCATTTACTCTCTTGACCAAATAGCTGAAGAGTGCCATGCATATGGCTGCATGGCACTCTTTATGCGCCCACACGAGGGTGTACACCATAATCACACAATGGATTGGGGCCAGGCACAAGAATAAAAACAAACTGTATACATCTATCTCCCTTGCTTTTAATTGACTGGTTGAATGGACCTGGCCCAACCACAACAAAAGAATCAACACAACAGAAAGAAAAATTATATAAGAGACAGACAAGAAATTGGCCATACAGCAACAGTCAAGAAAAGAAAAGGAATGAGGCCACACAATGATACTGGTGCTAAATTCCTGCCTATGGGAGAATATTCTTAAAGGCAGTTTTAAAGAGTTCTGTCTTATCTAGCTTTCTAAGTATTCAGAGGGGGGGCTGCTGCATCTCCAAAGGCTGTTTATTCCACACGGATGAGGCCACCACCAAGGAGGCCTGATTCCTCTTTGTGGCCTTTCTCAGCTGTCTCAGCCTGGCCAATCTCGGGAACAAATAAAACGGGCAGTTGTTTTTTTCGGGGGAAACATTTCCAACATTCCAAATTACAGCCAGAGGTTGTGCCTATGTTGTCCAATGAACGCAACTGTTGTGAGGCACAAATGACACAAAAGACTCTGTCACTGCACGTGACTGTCCCGTGCTCTCACCTTCGTGCCCATTTGTTCATGACAGCAGGATCAGAAGGAGCAGCTTCTCAAGCCATTAGCCTTGCCCCAGTGATGGTGTTCTTCATAACATCTTCAGCATTACAATAATTTTCAACAGAGCACAAGGAGAAGTATTTCTGAACACTTACACTGGAGCAACTGGTGGATGTTTTCTACAGATACATGGCCTTCAACTCCAACGGCCGCTTGGATCTTTTGTACAAAGCTCTGCAGGGCCTCTGGCGATGGCTGGGTGTCCCAAACCACGGCCACTTGCTGGCCCATGGAGATCCCGTGTTCTGTCATCTCTGAGGGTACCTGAAAGGAACAAAAATTGTTTTTTTTAAAAAACCCAACAAGAACGATTTTTTAAATCAAGCCATGACCCTTCTGGAAGGATCTTGCGAAACAGAGACTATGCCAGTTTCTCCAAAGCTATTCCGTTGAAGCATTGCTCCTAAGATCTGCTATCAGGAAACTAACGTTCAGTGACAGCATCACAAGCTTTGAGAATACCAGGAATTAGGAAACACATGACAGGAGCGCCTCTTATCTCAAATGCACACATGTAAGAACAACAGCTCTCTGAAGGTCTTCACCCTCCCCCAAGGGGTAAAAGATGAGAATTTTAAAAGATGCCTTAAAACTAGAGGCTACTAATATGTGGTAGAGATGAGCACAAAATGAGCCATGAACTACAAACACACACACACACACACACACACATAATACGAATCTGGCAGTTTTTTGTGGTTAGTTTCAGGGTGCTTCAGGGAGAGGCACCTTCTCAGAACAAAATGGAATGTGGCACAATTATCTGCGTTGGCGAATTGTACGATTCACGGTTCGCGTGATTTGGAACTTCCAGGAGCGGTAGAACAGCCTTGTGTGAGTTAGAGATGCCAAACGTGCTGTGGGTCTTCAGCGGGCTCTCCTCCCCACCCCCTCCCAGTTTGAAAAAGATGGCTTTTCAGACATCCGAGTTGTAGCCCCCCCCCCCAAGCAGCTCCCCCTAGGAAAGTACTCTTCAACCAGCTCGTAAAAGTTCGTGGTTTGTGAACAGCGACGGACCGCGAACCCTCAAGAACTGCCTTTTTTCCTGGTTCGTGCCCATCTCTATTAAGCAGCCAAAAAGAATGGACTTACAGGGGATCGATAACTAGTAGGCTGCCAGCAGCAAAATCACACTTACAGGGGCTTCCCTTTCCTTTGGGTTTCTTATATTTTGTTGATGACAACTAGTTGTGGAGCAAGGTCTGAGACTTCAGGCACCAGCTGTGATTGTGCCTCTTTCATCCTGAAAACTTCTGCTCGCTCCCTACACTTTCACTGGGGATCCGTTTCATAGTAGGTATCCTAACAGGCTATTATGACCTAGAAAACGATGCTGCTCACACTGGAGAACAAGGGTCCTTCCTCTCTACGGCATACTGGGAGGAGGGCCAGGTTTTTTTGGAAAATCAAAAGCCACGAAAGTATTCACAGCGGCTGAAACAGAAGTGTAGGGGAGATATAGGAAGAAATGATGGACAGTGGAAGCGGGAGAGACTCACGGACTCAGTTTTACAACTACATGGGTGATATCCATATAACAAGTTGGGGGCTACAGAACGGAAGGGAAACCCATTTATTAGGCCATTCAATCCGAAAGCAGGAGATCAGTTGTCCAATAAAGAACATTTACCGGATTCTTCACTCAAAGGATAGGTCTCCATTCCCTAGATCTAGTTCCTAGCTAAATCTAGTGCCTTCCATTGCAAGCAGTTTTTCAAAGACACAGCTGCGTTGGTTTGTTTCAGGAGGTGTAATAATAATATTTTTTTAAACTAAGATCCAGAGTTTTATGGCTTCTTAAACGGTTTAATATCAGTGTGGGCTTTCATGTATTACAACCCACTTCCAGAGACCCATGGAGTGAAACGCTTTGCAATGGGTTTATATCTGACTTTTCTGTTTATTTTCTCCTTATGTATTTTCTATTCTATAGTTGTATTCTGTTTATTACAATATGATGTATGTAATTTTTTGTTTTTTGGATTATTTCACTGTTTTTACTATATTGGAAGCCGCCTAGAATGGTCTTTTAGACCAGATGGGCAGGGTATAAATCAAATAAATAAATCAAATAAATAAATAAACAAACGAGGAATGCATTCAGTGGCATTTTCTAAACCAATGCAATATATGTGACCGGAAACTTACTTAACTCCAAGAAACAATTTCGCATTTTGATCCTAACTGGAGGAAATATCTCCGCTGTTCGCATGGGTTGCTCTACAATTAATATCAAAAAAGGACAACTGGTAGTGCATCCACCTCCCACCATCACTCTGCCGTTATCAGCTGCCATAACTTCTCTTATCCTCGGCCCGGCAAAGTGAACCGGGCAAAAAGAGCCTCCAAACCATGGAAGGAAGGTGAAAAAGAGAGCTCACAGTCCTTACTATTAGAGTCATGTATAGGGCAGAATTATACAGAATTATAGATGTATTATTTATTTATTTATTTATTCCATTTATAACCCGCCTATCAGTTCATTGCGATGTAGCTGCTGTTATCCCATATAGCTTGCTTTTTAATTGCATTTAAGAGTCACACCCCCTAGGCAAAGCTCTCTCGCCATCCATCTCTTGCCAAGTCTAAAATTTGCTGGTAATAATGTAGGGAAAATGACAGAAGCCTTTTAAAAAAAATCACATCACATTATAATGATGCTGCCGTGTCTGCCCTTTTAGGATTAGCACCACATGCCTTGGTGGTGCTGGAAAGAACAACAGGCACTGACATGACAGGCCAACCCAAGGTAGCAATTAAGCAAATTAAAGGCTAAACATGGAATCCACAAAAGGAATGATTATGATTTCAAACATTTTAACCCTGCCTTTCTCCTTAAAAAGGAACCTAAGGCAGGGGGACCTGGTGAAAAGGCAATATTTAAAGCTAAGGACCACTGAGTACACAAAGGTGACTTATTATATGATTAAAAAGCAATATTTAAGGTTAAAGATGACGAGTCTGTAAAAGCAGCTTTCCTCATTAACGTAACCGTGTAACCGTGGTGTGTGTGTGTGTAAAAAATCACAAAAGGAGCCAACAAATAACTCTACTTTGCAATGTAACCGTGGTGTGTGTGTGTGTATATATATATACAGTAATCACAAAAGGATCCAGGAAATAACCCTACTTCGCAACATTAAGGGATAACAAAACAGATCCAAAGCAGAGCTTCCAGGAGGCAACATAAAATATAAAATATATATTTTATATAAGAGTAACTGAAGCACATCTCTGAGTAACGAAGAGGTGGCAATTGGGGTAACTCGTTTGTGTGTGTGTGTATATATATATACAGTAATCACAAAAGGATCCAGGAAATAACCCTACTTCGCAACATTAAGGGATAACAAAACAGATCCAAAGCAGAGCTTCCAGGAGGCAACATAAAATATAAAATATATATTTTATATAAGAGTAACTGAAGCACATCTCTGAGTAACGAAGAGGTGGCAATTGGGGTAACTCGTTTCCCCTCCCCTTTTTTCCCCTTTGGGCTGAGCTGCCATCATCATCATCATCAATAACAACTGCCATTAAAGCCAGTGACGCAGATCAGAAAGAGGGAGAAAGCGAAGACGATCTTTAAAAGCAAATTAGGAGGACCCAAAGAGAGGAGGGGCGTGGGCCCCCTCCCCTCCCCTTAATTAAATGGAGGGGGGGCTTTGCAATTAAGGAAAGGGGGAGGGGGGGAAACCATCTCCTCCCTCTCCCCCACTTCCTAAAAAAAGAGAGGCCCTCTTAAGGGACGGGGAAAGGCTCCGAAACCGGTCTTTCTCTTTTTTCAGCTGATTCTTTCTTTGAAATAAAGGGGGGGGGAAAGAGAGAGACGGACTACAAAGCCCATCATCCCCCCCAATCCGTTCCCCAGGGCGCTCCGGCCTCTTTTCCTCCGGGCACCCGGAAAGCCTGCCTCCACACGGGCCCCAGGAGAGACCCCCGAGAAGGGAGACCGAGGCGGGCGCCCCCCCTCAATAACAACTGCCATTAAAGCCAGTGACGCAGATCAGAAAGAGGGAGAAAGCGAAGACGATCTTTAAAAGCAAATTAGGAGGACCCAAAGAGAGGAGGGGCGTGGGCCCCCTCCCCTCCCCTTAATTAAATGGAGGGGGGGCTTTGCAATTAAGGAAAGGGGGAGGGGGGGAAACCATCTCCTCCCTCTCCCCCACTTCCTAAAAAAAGAGAGGCCCTCTTAAGGGACGGGGAAAGGCTCCGAAACCGGTCTTTCTCTTTTTTCAGCTGATTCTTTCTTTGAAATAAAGGGGGGGGGAAAGAGAGAGACGGACTACAAAGCCCATCATCCCCCCCAATCCGTTCCCCAGGGCGCTCCGGCCTCTTTTCCTCCGGGCACCCGGAAAGCCTGCCTCCACACGGGCCCCAGGAGAGACCCCCGAGAAGGGAGACCGAGGCGGGCGCCCCCCCCACACACCGTGCCGACCCGGCTCCCAGGGCCGCCCGAGGCAGCCGGCCCCCTTTTTGCCCGGGCCTCCCTCCCTCCGCTCAGCATCCCGGACTCCCCACACCTGCCTCTCCGGTCCCACGACGAGGCTCTCCGCCCGCCCCCTCCTCGCCGACTCTCTCAGGCCAGGCCTTTTCCGCTTCCTCACGACTTTTCTCCTTCACGTGTCGTTGAGGGAGCCCCGCCTCTTCCCACCCCGTTGCCCTTTTCAAAGATGGCGGCCGCGGCGCTGTTTCGTTAGCGAGCCCTAGAGATAGGAAAAAAATAGAGAATAGCCGCGCAGGCTCAGGTTTTGATGACAGAAACTGTGGAAAAATTTCTAAGAGAAAAGGAGACGACAACTGATTCCATTTGAAAAGCAAGAAGGTTGCAGCACCTCTAGAATCGCGGATGGGTTTTCATGTAATATTTCGTGGATGGCTTTTGAGGATGCATCTGAGGAGAGGCCACAACGTCCAGAACAAACGAGTTGTTCTCCATGAAAGCCCACCACGACACAAACGCGTCAGCCCTTAAAGTGCTGAAATATTTAGGTCCTTGTTCTTTCCGTTTCGCTTTTGTCACAAAGCAGGGACAGCTCTACTGGAGTTCGCTACTGCTCTTTTTCTGGGTGGTTCCCTCTACTATTTGCGTATCTCTAGGAGACCGGACAGCTTTTTGCCCGCTCCAAAGATGGCGGCCACCGCCATCCAGGCCCCCTAGTTGACGCGGCTTCCGGGGCTGCTTGGACCGCAGTAAATATGGCGGCGGCCGCGGCGGTGGGAAGCCTGAGGCGAGCGGGCTGGGGGCTGCTCCGCTCCCAGGAGGGTGAGGAGGACCTCGGGCGGCAGAAAGACCAGGGGCTACGGGGGGGAGGGAAAAGGGGTCTGGGGTCTGGGTGGGGCGGCCCCCCAACTGCTGGGGGCGGGGCCTGTGTGGGCGGCAAAGGTGAGGTGAAGGGCAAGAGGCGCCCTTGGCGTTCCGAGGTAACGAGCCGTTCCTCGTTCCTCGTTCCTTCGAAGGCTCCTCGTGGAAAGGGTTGAGGGCGGGCCAGATTCTCCTTCCCAGGAAAATCAAGTGGCAACGCGTTCCGAAGTCCAGGCAACCCAGTTATTTGGGGCTCAGGAAATCCCACCAGCGCCTCTCCCCATTTCTGGGAGCAAAAGGCTCTTAATTGCAAACATTCAAAACTGGATAAAAGTCTGGGCTCCTTTGAAGACCCACCAAATCTGCCGCCTGAGGCCACCCACAGGGCGCCTCCCTCTGCCTGCTAGGAGAGCCGGCCCTGGTCTGAACCGAAACAGGTCCCAACCTCTGTTTAGGCATATCTGCCACCTGAGGCCACCCACAGGGCGCCTCCCTCTGCCTGCTAGGAGAGCCGGCCCTGGTCTGAACCGAAACAGATCCCAACCTCTGTTTAGGTCTGGTTTTTTGTTTGTTTGTTTGTAAGCCACCTTTCGTCTGTTTTTTTGTTTGTTTGTTTGTTTGTAAGCCACCTTTAAAGGACCCGAGGCGGATCAGAAAACCCTAAAAAAGAGTGGGTTGGCCTGGGTGCATTTTCCCCACCCCAAAAATCACTATATTTTGCCCTTTCTTCCTGCACGGCAGTGCCTGATGAAGCCTCTTGCAGACCTCAAAAAGCCTGCCTCTTTCTGAGATTTTAGCAATCTCATGTTCTGCTTTTTTGTAGAAAGATGTGGATTTTCCCCTCTTAGTAAGACAGTTTGATATAACCTTTATCCACTGTGCAGAGTTTTCCAGTATTGAGCCCATGACAGCCGGAGCAAGTTCAGCTGTGAGTTCCTCTCTCTCGAAAGGACGGTGGATGCAGCCAGTGCTTCAGTGACATTTTAATGGAATAGTTTGAAACATGCCTTCCAGCGACCGTTCTCTTTTTCTAGCTGTGCGTTCCTGAACGTCTTCTGACCTTTCGTGGCAAGAAAGGACTCGGAAAGAATTTACGGGACAAGCTGGCAAAGGAGTCCCAGGATGTAAACACCCTGTGTGGACTTTCAAGCTTGCATTTTCATTTCTCCCCCCCTCCTCCCCATGAGAAACCATTTGTTGACCCCAGACTTTCAGCAAATGCTGCTTGGAATGTTACAAAGGAGTTTTAAAAAACATTCAGCTTTGGTAAACAGAAATATCTCTCTTTTTTTCACAGGTCTGTTAGAAAACATATTTGAATGCTCCAGTGATCTTGTAGATAATTCCTGGCATAATGTATAATGAATTCATCACCAGAAAAATGGGAAAATTCCTGGCTAAGATACCTCTTCTGCTGGTTGATTTCTTGAGACATAACTTTGTTTCTTTTTATGATTATACACTGTCTAGGATCCTTTGGGAGAGAGGTGGCTTATAAATATTTTAAATAAACAAATATATGACAAAATAAAGGCCTGCCTTTCAGAAGAAGACAACACACTCGTACAACAATATCACAGTTCTTTCCAGTCTTTGAAAAGCAGATCCATCCAGTGCTCAAGGGTTTGACGATGGAAGTGGGTTCAAGTCTGTATTCATCTCTGCAAATTGATCAAAGTAGCTTGGAAAAAGCCGGTCTCTTTCAACACCAACTCCTTATGAACTGGCTACTTTAGAGCCACATGCGCACACATGCGTGTACAGTTATATAAAATGATGTTTAGGCTGTCTTTAACAGCAGAGCTGTCATAGATTTTATAACAATTGGACTTCAAAAGTGTAGTTCAGGTGGTTCATAAGTCACAGTCATAATCGGTCTTGCGTTCTGCCTCAGTTTTCAGACGCCAGCTGTATCCAGCCCAGCGTGCCTTCCGTGTTGCAGCCGTGCAGTGCAGAGTTTCCGATGAGCAGAAACGGGAGCCTCCTGCATCTCCCACCCAGGAGCACGTGGAGTCCCCGCCAGTGGGGGAACACCATGATCCAGAGTACCCTCACTCTCGCCCCAGGTAATCTGCACGGCCCTTTCCCTCTCCCCAAGCTGAAGCTCTGTGAGATCTCACCTTTCACAATTTGACAGCCAGATCTGGTGTGATGTTCTGGATTTCAAACAGGGTATGGTACTTCTGCACTCTGAGCCTATGTCTGTTTTAGTAAACCCTTTTGAATATTTCTCGTGTCTGTAAAGGCAGGATGATGTAAACTGTGGCACATTCCTTATTTCCCTGCTAGTTCCATAAAAACATGGGAGTTCTCGGTCCACATACTGCTGATCTTTGAAAGAAGAGCAGATCTTTGAAAATCAGTCAATCCGGTGTGGCATTTCTGCCCTTCTGAAGCAGATGATTAATAGTCAAATATTATGTAATTTTTATCAAAAGAAGTTTGTATGTAGGAATTTGAGTGAAAGCTCTTTGTTGGTGTCAGTTGTTTTTCTAGAAATGCAAAACGGCAGAGCAAAGGTGCAACTTTCTTGGTATTCGAGATCCTTCCGGCTGTTTGCTTTTTCTCTTAGTTACACTGATCAGGGTGGCGAAGAATCTGAAGGGTACGAGAGCGAGGAGCAGCTGCAGCACCAGATCCTGACGGCGGCGCTGGAGTTCGTGCCTGCTCACGGCTGGACGGCCGACGCCATTGCGGAAGGAGCCAAGGTACGTATCTCGTAGAGGGCCAGTGCTCTGAAAGATTCTGGGAGCGTCTGCTCTACAAGCTTCCTCCTCTCTTCCCTCTTACCATGTCCCAGAATAACTTTACTACTATTTTATGGAGGCTGTGAGGATTTTCTGATGAAGAACTGTAAGCTCACAGCAGAATTAAATCTGCCAGGGTTCCCTGGTGAGGAGCCTTTACCGTTAGCCTATTTTAAGATGGTTGGCCTCCACAGACCTCTCCCTGCAAAGTAGATACAGGGAAAGGAACAATTCCACTTCGCCCTGCAGGTTCCTCTGTTGGGCAGAGAGAGAGAGTGGTTTCCATTTGCTTCACGTTTGCAGAAGATCCTTTGACCAGTTTAGACATTGGAGCAGGACTGTTGAGCACCTGCAGGTTCCTCTGTTGGGCAGAGAGAGGGTGGTTTCCATTTGCTGCACGTTTGCAGAAGATCCTTTGACCAGTCTGGACATTGGAGCAGGACTGTTGAGCGTTTCTATCCAGCGTTACAGTTCAGGATGTGATGCTTCTCTTACGTGATCTCAGGCCTTCTTGTATCAGAACGGGTTAGCATAGAGTAAATCAGCATTCTCACCGTATGGCAGACGAGAGAGCTTGGAATGGGGCTTCTCTCCAGGCCACCCCGGGGAGTCGAACGGAGGACTTGGCAGTTGACGGTTTTTGCTCTCTTTCAAAAGACTGTGCTTTGCGTGCTTGTTTCCTGCTAGGCTTCCTTGCCTGCTGGCTTGGTGACGGCCCCTTTGCCCACTCAAATCCTGTCTCCCTTCCTCCCTTTAGTCACTGGGTCTCTCTGTTGCTGCAGCTGGGCTGTTTCACAACGATGGGAGCGAACTGGTCCTGCACTTTGTCTCCCAGTGCAACACGAAACTCTCCGAACATCTGGAGGAGCAACACAAGCTGGTGCAGCTGGGCCAGGCCGAGTAGGTGCCAGGCAGAGCGCGTGGGAGGGGAGAGGGGTGCGAGTCGGTGTCTTTGTCTTACCGCTGCCCCCCCCCGAAGAATCCTTTCTGTAGCCCAACAAAACATCTTGGCACACCTCGGCATTTTGGGTGCGTCATGACTTGCTTTGGAAGAAGGAAAGTCTTGAGCCGTGTTAATTGTGAATTTTCTTCTAAAGGAAGAAGAAGACAGACCAGTTTCTCAAGGAGGCCTTAGAAGCCAGGCTGAGGATGCTCATCCCATATATTGAGCAATGGCCCCAGGTACTAAACAGAGGTCACTCTTTAACTTTCTTTTCACTGGAACTCCAACTGGGTTCGTTGCATTGTGTGTGCATTTGCGCGCGCGCACACGTGTGTGGTAGTCTGTCTATTCCATTTCCCTGTAGAGTCCTGTGGGAGGCAGGGGAGGCTGAAAGATGGAGACTGGTCCAACCGCAGGCGATAGCCTTGGGTGAAAGACCCAGGATCTTGGCGTTGATGATGGGCAGGTGAAATCTAGAGGCCAGTTTTGCCTCTTCAAGAGCACTGCAGGCTGCACCTCACCCCCCAAAGGAACCCACGTGTGCCCCCCCCAAGTCTTCCATGGGGAAGGGGTGGCAAAGGGACCCAGGGGCCCTGACAGAGGGGCTGGAGCCGAAGCGTCTTCTGCCATTCCATTTTTGACTGCTTGAGCCGTTGCAAGCCTCTGGAGGCTCAAAACTGCCCTAAATCTGCCTTCTGTTAGGGGAGGAAGAGGAGGTGGCCTGCCCTTCCATCGCTCAATGGTGGAGCTGTCTGTGCCTCCTCTACCATCCCAGCTTTCCGTTGGATTGTCCCAGGAATCAAAGGGTCTCCTTGGGATCTCTGGCTGAACTGGGAACACTCAGGTGGCCGTTACGGTTCTTCCTGGCGTCCTCTCAGAGCATGGTTTCTGTCTGCCGCTCATCAGGCAGAGCCCGGCTGTGAGGTTGTGGCTGAGTTGCTGGAAACAGCAACCAGAAGACGCTGCGTGGTAGAAGACGATGAGCCGTAGGAAAAGGACAGGACAGACTCCTTGCATGGTCTCCATTCAGGCAACTTTCTCCTGGATTCATGAATTGCTCCAATTTCCCCCCTAGGCGATCAGCGTGCTGTTGCTGCCCCACAACATACCAGCCAGCCTAAACCTCCTGACGAGCATGGTGGATGACCTGTGGCACTACGCCGGAGACCAGTCCACGGATGTAAGTCGGCGCGTCACCCTGAGGTTGTCCCTAGGCTTTCAACCCAGCCACAGGGTAGCCTGGAACGCCTGCCCCCCCGCCCCACCTGGCAGAGTCGATGCATTCCAGATGCCCTCAGAGGGAAACGATGCCGTTGAAAGGCTTACGTTCCTGGCGAGCTTTCAAGAGTTGGAAGTCACATACGGGATGGGTGGAGGGGTGGAATGTAATGTTCAGACATGTCAGAGACGGGACGGGGGCCTGGAGCAGTGAAGGCCAGTGGTTGTAAGAGTGGAAGTGGTGGGCATGGCCCGGTTTAGCCTGGTGGTCTTTCTGCTTGTACGGGTGCTGCTGGATCCGTCTTTAAAGAGTTGAGTTGCACAACGAACGGTGGTTTCGGTGGTTTGAACACGGTCTTGGCCGAAGACTACGGCTCAGCCAAGAACCCCAGTTCTGTCCTGGTCGTGTTCATTTCTATCTTTACGTTGAGTTGCACAACGAACGGTGGTTTCGGCGGTTTGAACACGGTCCTGGCCGAAGACTACGGTTCAGCCAAGAACCCCAGTTTAGATTTATACCCCGCCCCTCTAGACCAGGTCTACTCGGGGCGACTTACATACATAAAACATAGTGTTGTCTTTCTTTCTTGTGGATGCCTGGCGTAGTTGAGGTTAAAACTGTGTTAAAACCATTATAAACCATATAGAACACCACCTAAAGAATCATATCTGGAAGCTGAGTCATGGCAACTGGAGTTCTTTCTAATTTGGTTGAGGTCATTGACTAGTGGAAGGAAATTGTTGATGATCCACAAAAGTTCATGCCGAAATAAAGTCGTTGGTCGTTAAGGTGACACAGAACATTTAAAAAAGAACACCACAACTATATGAATAGAAAAATGACCCAATGAAAATAGCCTTGTTAGAATTGAGTGTGCCTGAAACTAGCTGGGCATAGTGTGTTAGCTTTTGGTTTGTCTGTTGTTGTTTTTTGTTTTAAAGGGGAGTTTAATTATACGGTGATTTTCTTTTTATGGAAGTGAACAAAATGGAGAGTGTTTATTTAAGTGACCTGCAGTGTTAATCTAGGCATTTCTGTGTTTCAAAACACTGCTCTCCCTTCTGCACCCAGGCGGGGTGACAGAAAGAGAAAAATTCTTCTTGAAAAACCTTTAGTAGCTGCCTAAAAATACCCAGAGCTAATGATAAAAGCCATCATCTTTCTGGCAGGAAATAAAAGCAAAGTAAATTATATCTTAATTAAAGCAATTAATGAATTACTCGGCCTATTGTAAACATAAGTAAGGAGTGGGTTGATCTTTGTGGGTCTTCTTAACGAATGGCTTTAATAAACTTGTGTGAAAATAAAATAGCAGCCACTGTGGTGACAAATAAATAGCACACAGGCAAATTAAAAGAATAAACTAGAACGCCAAACAAAACGTAGCAGCCACACCAGGAAGCTAAAGTTCTACTTGGAGTGTGAACATTAGCTTTTAAAAAGACACTGCACCAGTAGTAGTGCTTATCTTATTTTCTTCCTGCTGCCTTGGAAACTGGGAAAATGTTTATGGGTCACTTGCAAAGCTAGGCTGGAGTTGTGTTAAGGCTAGTGAAGTTTCGTGTGGTGTGATGACGCAGCATTTGAACACAGGGGCAGTGCGGTTGGCCGGTAACACTATAACGGACTGACTGCAGCCAAGAGTAACTCTTACATTTCTCTTGGCAATCACCGTAGCTTCCACATTGCTCCCTGTGTACGGTAAGCAGCCTGTGCTTGCCTCGCATCGCTGTGGATTTTCAGGATGGGGCTGAGTCCCCAACAAGACCTTATTACTTACGGAAATTCTGCATGGTGCTTCCTTTGGTAGTAAACCCTAACAACCCCCACCCCTGTGTGCAGATGTGATCAGCATTGTGTTGGTTTTTATTGGCAGAGTTGCTGTTCCGTTACAATTTTTTTCAGAGGAGTAGCAGGGTTTTAGTTCAACCCTAAGGATTTCCGTTTCCCCGTAAGTAGGAATCACAGCTTTATATATATATAGCCAGATATTTATATATATAAAGCCAGAACATGTGAAAGCCTATATATACTGAGGGTGTGTTGTGCGCGCACACTTTGGAGACAAAGCTGGACTAGCAAGTTTGTTTTTCAGATCAGCTGTGATTTTCTGAGCTGTACAACAGAGACGAGGAACAGTTTGCTTACCAATACCAGACCTTGAAAGTCAAAATAAGCCCGCAAAATAATAAAATGGATGAAAAAAAGAGGATCCCTTGCATTCTCTATTTCTGTGTTTGGGAAGGGACAGTGATGCTTGCTGTGTTTTTAGCACACACCCACCCAACCTGTTTGTAGGAGCCTTGTGGCACAGTGGTTCAACTGCTGTCCTGCAGCCAAAACTGTGCTCCCGACCTGGGGTTCAATCCCAGGTAGAGCCGGCTTGAGGTTCACTCAGCCTTCCATCCTTCTGAGGTCAGTAAATTGAGTTCCCGGATTGCTGTACCCATTTGGTTGATAGGATGTATAGCGGCGTAATTAAATAAACGGAAAATTGACTGGATGTATCCCTGGATCCGAAACAGGTCGAGCGGAACAGGCCTTAGTCCTCCGGTCAGGGTGCTGGAGGCCTTTTTCATCTGTTTACTTAAATAGCTGGGGATGTCAGAGACACGGGGTGGCTGCAGTGCAGGTTGGTGGGCCACTCTGTGCCCCTTTGTGCTGTAGAACAAGATTGCCAGAGAGAAAGTTTGGTTTGGGAGGCTGCCTTGAAAACATTCAAACCTATTGGGCTTCTACCGTTTAGTTTCTCTAGCAGGTCCGAGAGAAAGTTTGGTTTGGGAGGCTGCCTTTGTCTTCCTCGAAAACATTCAAACCTGTTGGGCTTCTACCAGTTAGTTTCTCTAGCAGGTCTTCTCGATCAGGAGATTCTGTTTCAGAGCCTCTTCTCTCCCTACTTAAACTGATCAGAATAATACTGGTTGAATTTAACTGACCTCTCCGTGTGGTTGAGGGTGCAAAATCTCTCACAGGGAGTCACGCCCTCGTCGTTTATATTTTGATTCTTACCCACGCAGATCAGCTGGTACACTCGTCGAGCGGTGCTGGCCGGCATTTACAACACCACGGAGCTGGTGATGATTCAGGACACCTCTCCGGACTTCGAGGACACCTGGTTGTTCCTTCAAAACAGAATCGCCGATGCCATGAACATGGGCCACACAGCTAAACAGGTGAGGCCCAAAGGCTGGGCTTAGCCACTGCCCGGACCTCCATGGGGCGTACGAGCCTTTTTCCCCATCATCAAGTTCTCACATACATTGAAGACAGTACCATGTTGGGAGTTCTGATGAGGAAGTCAAGTCTCCACGGTGGCCCTCCTTTATTCCTGGGCCTTAACATTTGGTGCACTTGAAAGGTTCAGACTTCTTCTGCAGCTCAAGAAGGCCAGGTAGGCTCTCCCCAGGTGGCAAGCGCTCTGCCTTTCTCCGGCGGCGTTCTGAGAATCCCCATCATTCAGGGAGGCGGCATCTGGCCAAGGGCTGCCTTTTGCCCACTCCTGCCATGTATTTGCTGCTTTCAGTCTCCCTGGCTGCGGAGCCAGAGGCTGGGGGTTCGATTCCCCCACGGGGACTCTCTGCCAGGGGCCGGACTTGATGATCCCTGGGGTCCCTTTCCAGCTCTGCCGTTCGAGATGGTGGTTGTGAACCGCCCGTGAAGAAGCAGTCGGCGGAGGGGTGCTTACAGCCATTGGGGATTATGTTTTGCAGGTGCAGGCAACGGGAGAAGCCCTTGTCCAGGGACTGATGGGAGCTGCTGTTACTGTAAGTAACGCCGCGGGCAGTTCTCTACCCTCTGACCCAGCGGAGTGACATGTGGCAACCTTTTCCCATTTAGTCATGTTTGAGGATTCTTAAAAGGAACACTTTATAGAATTAGCCCTCCATATGGGAAAAATCAGTGACCAGATCTGGTATAATGCTTTTTTTTTAAAATGACACAAGACTCTTTCCAGCATTAGACACAGATATTGGCTGAAATCCAGGAGAATAAGTCACACCTAAAATAGGCCGCTTGAAACACAGAGGAATTGAATCCCAAAATCCGTTGGGATTTAACGGGCCTACTTCAGTTGGGTTTATCTACCGGATTTCCGCCATTGCGTGGGCAGACGTTCTGAGTTGTTTCGCTCTTGCCTTGGGGTTATCTGTGGTCCCCCCCCCTTCTATTAATTCTGCCCCTGTAAATTGAAAGCAAAGTGTTGATTGGATTTAATGGGGCCAGACTTCTTTGTAGCAAATGGAATAAGGGAACTTTAATTCCCACATAAAAGTTTTCATGAAGTTTAATAGCCAAATAAGATGTGCTTGTTCTCACTTCACGGAAAATTATCCCTAGGGCTGGTTCTTTTCTCTCTCACACACACACCATGTTGATGATCTCATGGAGGAACTTCAGAGAAGCAATCAAGCTTTGGCAAAATTCCTTGAAGCACCCTTCTTTTGAGAAAGGTGCCTGCATTTCGGAGGTTGTGATGAGCAGAGGTGTGTTCCCCTCCTGCAGGACTGCATGGTGCGGTTTTCTCACTGCCTCTGTTGTTTGTATACCTGGCAGATAAGGAATCTCACGGGATTGAACCAGCGTCGGTGAAGAGGTGGTGGAATGGCTGGAAGAGGAAACGTCTTGTCTAAAACCTGCTAAGGAACGGGACATGCTCCAGGGATCAGACTGTTAAGAACGCTAAACCTGTCACAACTTCTATTGTAACACAGGCACACAGAAGCCACCAGCTTTGGTGTCAGAACCGTCTCTTCTCTGGACTGGGTGTAAATGACAAAATCGGGTTCTCTTGCCATGCCATCTACGCTGATGCGTAACCTGTCCAGCAAAATAAAATAATGCCCAGGGCCCCATGTTTAGCAAACAGTGTGCAATAAGGTAACTTTGGGGACCCAGAAGCCTTATGCATCATCGGCGGAGAGGGCAGAGCAGGATGGGTTTGATCCAGTCTCGCCCAAGAGAAAATACATCACTACCTACTCCTTGTTGCTTGTCCGGCTTTCGACTAATGAGATCAAATGGGGCTGCCAATTGTCAGGGCTCCTTGTTGTGGTGGTCACTGTATTCACAGCTCTCAGTGTCTCATTTCTTCTGTTCCTGGGCATGGATGTGACTGTAAATTAATAGTAATAATAAAAACGGATTGGTTTTCTCTGCAACCCTTCGCAATCCCTTCGTTCTCCAAGTGTCTTTGTTTTGACGCAGCTTGCAGGAGCGCATGCAAAGGGCTGAAGTGAATAATAGGTTGGAACAGATGGCCATTGGAAGCACGGCTGACTCACACACTCATTTTTATGGCTTGCATGTGAGAAGGAGCTTTCTCAGAACACGCCACTACTGTCCCGTGAAGCGCTGTTTACCGGAAGCAATTCATCGACGGCTCTCTTGGGTATCCAGCTGATCAAGTGGCAGAAGGTCTGTTCTGTTGCGGTCAATGGCACTTGGAGGCAAAGTCTTGACAAGTGTCTAGGAGCATAGCTTTTGGGAAGCCAGCAACCTCTGAAAAACAGGCAGTCGAACAACGTCCTTTGCCTTATGAGCCCCAGAGAGCATGGGTTCCTACGAGAGAATGGGTTCTTTGAGGTTCAGGAATGGCCCCTAAAAACTCCCCCAATCGCCACCTAACTGGAACTTTGTCGGAAGGTTTCTAGCCCCCCCTTTTCACCCACTTGATGGGTCAGACACCCCACCCCAAAGGCTCAAGAAAGACCAGATGATTTAAAAACACCTACCCATTACATCTGTGAGAACCGTCTTCTTTGTGGTGCCCGCCGACTATTTTGGACTTCGGCTCTGTGATTGTTCGGCACTGGCGCTGACAGGCTGATTCACAAAGCTGATCGGGAAGTCCAAGCCAGATGGTCCATTCATTGAAATCGGAACCCCATCAATTGTGCCTGTTCATCCTTTTTAGTTTTAAGGATGGGCAGTCTGCCACCCCCTCTTGGCCTCACTTCAAACGGCAATGATCAATCCATGTCCCAAAATATGTGATTGTGTAACACACACACCCAGACACACATACACCATTCTCTCTTACGCAAATGGCTGCCATAATTTTAAAAAGCCAGTTTGGGATTGTGAGTAATGTTCATTTATTGACTGAGCAGTTCCATTAAAAAAAAAACTAAAACAGAAACATTTTTTTTGCAAACTTCACCTGTGTATCAAAGACTCTTGGACCAGCCCTGACACCACTGACTAGCATCCAAGCACTTGGTCCCCAAATTTATGCCACTTTGGTGCTCTATCATCCTTGACTGCCCTTCTCCTGGATTGACCATCCATGTGGACTAGTCCCTTTGCTTTACCCATCAGCATATTCTCAAAGGGGGTGCTGGGTGCATGTGTTCCTCTCAAATGCCACAGGCAGTCCCTATTAAAAAGAGGGAGTCACTGCTTCAGCAGGAATGACAGGCCTGAAGGCAATCTCTGGCCCTCCAGATGTGACTGAACTACAATTTCCATCATCCTTCACTCTTGCCTCTGCTGCTTGGAGTGGGCGGGAGTTGTAGTCTATTATAGGGGGGCACAAGTTACTCGCTTCTGGCCCAAGTTCCGAGTGTCCTCCTAGGACCCTATGCTCTCCCTATGTTTTGGGGACTACAACACTCATCATCCCCAGCTGAAGGCAAAACAAAAAGGAGGCAAGACTGAGGGGCTGGATGCCGTAGAAGGAAATCTGATGATGTGGAAGGAGGGGAGTTTTGCCCAAAGAGCATCCCCCCCCCGAGGGTGGTTCAGAAAGGGAACAGCCCGGACAACGGGGGATTTTCCTCCCCGATCTATAGGGCAGACCCACACGTGTCATATTTGCACCCAGAAGCACAAAGCAGCTTCTCATTGCGACCCAAAGTCAGAGGGTCCAGAGGGCAATGCATGAGACCACTGAAGGAAGAATGTGGCTTGGAAATCATTACACTTTTGGACTACAACTCCCAGAATCCCCCTGCCAGGACAAAAGGGGACACCAACAGAAAGACCAGGAAGACCATCTGGCCACAGTGCTCTCATCCTTCCCTCTTGTTCTCAGAGAGGGTATGGAATTTAACCAAGGCAAATTCTATACCCATTTACTTAATATATATGATCGGCAGGACTCCGCTTTGATCAGTGCGTCACCAGGCCGGCCCTACCTTTGGGCTGAGTGAGGCAACATTGCTCTGGTGGCAGACTCATAAGACCTCGCGGTTCTTTTCGGGTCAGAGGGCTTGTCTTATGCCCCGTCAACTAGTCAGTGGACCATGGCATGCGTGCCCCAGCCAGTGCAGGAGTTAATAACTCAACCACAAGGGTGGCTTGGGGGGGGGGGCTTTGCCCCAGGCAGCAAAATGCCTTGAGTCAGCCCTAGCCTTGAACACACAGCATGCATAGTATCACCTTGTGTATAGAGAGTTGGAAGAGTGGCTTTGTTTTTGGACTTCAGACCCCAGAACGCCCGAGAAGAAGATGCTGAGATGTGTTTCGAACACAAGTTCAAAGCCTCTCCTCCACCTCCCATCCCTTAAAGACAAACAGAAGAGCACAGGTGGGGGGGGGGGAAAGGACTCCTTCGCCCCACCGAAGCAGGAAAGAGAACCACCTTAAATTAAGCCATTTCACCCACAATGGAATCTCCAAGCGGACTCAAGAGCAACAAAGGGACTCTGGAAACGGCAGCGAGCCAGACAAAGTGGAGGCACGAGGCTGGAGCTCCCCGAATTGGCGGCTTTGTGGGTCTCGCCTCCTGATTATTATACTTTGGTCTTAAAACAAATTTTGAATTCAGAATTGAAGTTGGAGCAAGGCAGCTTGGATGCTTACTGGTCCCTGTTTAAGAGTTTCCCCGTTGCCCACCCTCACCCCCGCCAGCAGGCTGGCTTGGAGGCTTCCTCCCTCCCCTCGTGTATGCAAAGGATCCAAAACACAGTTATTTACACATACGCAGTGCGCACAAGAGAGTCGAGGTCCCTCCCGCATCACTTTGAAAACAAAGGGCATGTTTGTGTGTGTGTGTCAGAAGAGAGAGGAACACAAAACAACACAATAGCAAGGTTTGTACTACAATAAAAAGATAGCCCTTCTAAAAGTTATTCAATAAATAGGAAAAACTAGAAAATCAATCGCTTCATTAAAAAATTTCAGCATAGGAAAAACCAGCTGCTCTGTGCACGGGTTTCACCGGTTCCTCTCAAAATTGCTCATCGGGTGGGAAGGGGCAGAGCGGCGGGTGGGAAACGCAGGGGCCAGAAAAGGGATTTTTAAAAAATGAGGCAGGCTGGCCTGGGCACCACCACCTTGAATGGCAGGATCGTGGCGGGCGTCGCTTCATTAAAAAATTTCAGCATAGGAAAAACCAGCTGCTCTGTGCACGGGTTTCACCGGTTCCTCTCAAAATTGCTCATCGGGTGGGAAGGGGCAGAGCGGCGGGTGGGAAACGCAGGGGCCAGAAAAGGGATTTTTAAAAAATGAGGCAGGCTGGCCTGGGCACCACCACCTTGAATGGCAGGATCGTGGCGGGCGGACGAAGCCGGTCGCCCGTTATCCGGGGCTGCTTCTCTGACTTCAGCTGAAGCTGGGGAGAAACACTTCAGCAAAACCCCAGCGGATCAGTCTTGTGGCCAGAGGCACAGGAGCAGAGGCCAGTGAAAAATGTTGGCAACCCCAGAGGTTGCCACAGAATCCA